TGGGGCCAAAAATCAGTAAAAAAAGGCAATTCGCAGTATTATACTGCGAATTACCCTAATTCGCAGTATAATACTGCGAAATGCCTTTTGAAAAAATTACTGGGCCCATTTTAAGCAATTTGCAGTATAATAATGCGAATTGCATAAAAAAAATAATTTTTTAATAATTCGCAGTATTATACTGCGAATTACTTTAACGGCTAAGTTTCCGTTAATGTAATTCACAGTATAATACTGCGAATTACCTATTTGTGTAACTTTTTTTTTAACATTAAAAATGTGCTTTTTGTCCAAAAAAAAAGCATCAAAAAAGTTTCGGACTCGAAGGATTAGCCTCATTGACTTCTCTCTTTTTTCTTTCTTAACTAATATGTCAACTTTTTTTACCCACCGTTTTCATGGAACTCTTGCATAGAATGACTTCTTTTTGGTCTTTTTGGTGGTACTGCATTAATTAAAATGTGAATAAACTTGAAATTATAGCTTGATTTCAATGATTACATAAATTAAACTGCAAGAGCATATATTAATACAAGGATCATCAATTGACATAGACGGATCTGGTGTGCACATATATTAATACAAGGGTCATCAATTGACATGGACGGATCAGGTATTTGAACACCGATACCCACTCGGATAATATTTAAGTGTGCGCTAAATTATTTTTAAACATATACTTATATATAGATCTGATAAACATATAAAATTGTATAAAGAATAGGGAAACTTACACAAATGACCCATATAACTTTCAACTTACCAACCTCTAGCCATTAGTCATAAACATACCAAAACTAGCCAAGCACATATAAAAATTGAAAAACTAAATAAATAAGGTTCTTTATCTCAAAGAATCACATGCAAAATTCTCCCTCCATATTTTTAAGCGTGATTAGCAGATGCAAGATGGAAAGGAAATTTCATGGATGAGATAGCAAATAAGATAATGAAATACAAAAAAAAATATAATATTTCAAAAGCCTAAGCAAAAAAGGAACTTTTTTCAATGGGTATAGTTGAAATTCATTGAAAATATATAGATAAGTCAATATACAAAATTTGAGGAAGATTGGAGGTGATTTGGACTGATTTTGTATCAAAATTCGTAATTAAATCGAGTTCAAAAAAGTTCTTCTGCGACACATGTATCAAAAATGTATCACGCATGTATCTCACAAACAGGTATACATGAATATACATGTGATACATAATTGATACAAATATGATACATATGTGATACACAAATGATACACAGTGTGATACACATATCATTTTTTTTTCATGTTCGAGTTTTACTTCGAATTTTCAATTCAAACCACCTCAAAACTTCACCAATTCATCCCAAAACTGAGATTCGAACTCTTTAAGATGTATCCAATCTATTCTAATAACACCACTCAAAAAAAGCAAAAAATTGACCTAATTTTGCTATAGCTAATTGGCTAATATTAGTAATATTTGGCTAATATTAGTAATATTTCATGAATTGATTAATTTTTGTAATGAGCTACTTATAAATGGATGATAATAGGTGAATTTGACTACAATCACTCCTTAAATAATCACCTTCTTGTGTAGTTTTAATGCTAAAAGTGATGACAAAATGCTCTTATTAGTGCTTTTCATGATTTGTAGGTGACATATGTATAAAGACGGCTAAGGAGCAGTTTTGGAGTCAAAAGTGATGAAAAAGAGGCCAACTGTGAAATTTCCTAAGTGACCCGTGCAAAAACAGGCCGAAGATTCAGAGAACTGGATCCACCGCGGTTCCACCGCGACCGCGGCAGAACCACGGTGGGAAGCAGCTGCAGAAGTTCAGAGATTCCGCGAGGGTGTTTGGCCGCGGTTCTACCGCGACCGCGGCAGAACCGCGGCAGGCGCAGAAACTTCTGGGACCAAAGTGTCAATTACGGGATTTTTAGATCTAAACCCTATTTAAAACATTAGACTTCGCCCAAGAGAGGCATGTATTGATTTTTTAGGTCTCTTAGCAAGGAAAAAAATTGGGAGAAAGTACTCTAAACATCCTTCCTCTTTTCTTTTGATTTTATGATGAATTCAAGCTTAGTTTATTTTCCCATAGTCATGAGTAGCTAAATTCCTTGTCTAAGGTGTTGATGGAACCTATTGGGTGATGAACTTCTTGTTTATGTGAATACAAATTGCTAGTTTAATCTTTATTTGTTCAACTTCGTGTTCGTTGTAGTTAATTGACAGGATCCTCAATTANGATGAACTCCCAGATGGACCACCGTGGTCCAATACTCCAGACCTACGCAGATTCCAACTAGGGGCGAGGTCATAACTTGTAAAATTCAAATCCGGACGGTACCCCCTATAAAAAATATGAGTGTTAATACAAATCCAATTAAAACATAAAAAAAGCATCACTAAAGCGTAATAAAATTGAAGTTTACCAGTCGTCTTGTTGATTATATAAAGTGGAAACATTATTTTCTGGCTGCTCATTCGCCTGTGGTGACAAGTTTAAATCAAGGCAAGCTCTTTCATCTCCAATCTGTCCGGCAAACGCTGCTCCAGAATAACCACCCGATGACTGGGGGTTATCCCTGCTATGCACGCCCTCATTACTGGGAACGTCTTCCACCTTGACGTACATTTTCAATAATTTTATTACAATAAATTCCCTGTATTCATCCGGAATCCGCAAAAAATCTCTAAGAGTTTCATCATCCTCGATGTTAAACTCAGAATAATAAGCAAACCCCTGCGGAGTCACTGAATACGGAAATCTACCGGTTACTTTAAGGTTAACCGAACGCCTCCGCTCACTCATTTTTTTACGTAACAACGATACCAATGTATCGTACTGCATAGTAAGCGGCAATTTAACATGACACTGTGGAGGTGAGCTATACCTCACAGAGTTATTCTCCACCACAACCTCACCCCTCCCAATACAGTGAAACTCTTATTTTTGGCACTTCAGACATTGTAAAAAAATGATTGATAAGGAGAAGAGAGAATGATGAACGTATGTTTGAAGTTAAGTATTGAATGAATTTTCATAAAATTGAAACACCTATAAATAAGGCAAGTCCGAGCTTGGGGTGTAGAATTTTTTAAAGGAATTCGCAGTATTATACTGCGTTTTATGTATTTGAATTATTGTTATGTCAGTTAATTATTATTGGTGGGGCCAAAAATCAGTAAAAAAAGGCAATTCGCAGTATTATACTGCGAATTACCCTAATTCGCAGTATAATACTGCGAAATGCCTTTTGAAAAAATTACTGGGCCCATTTTAAGCAATTCGCAGTATAATAATGCGAATTGAAAAAAAAATAATTTTTGAATAATTCGCAGTATTATACTGCGAATTACTTTAACGGCTAAGTTTTCGTTAATGTAATTCGCAGTATAATACTGCGAATTACCTATTTGTGTAACTTTTTTTTTAACATTAAAAATGTGCTTTTTGTCCAAAAAAGCATCAAAAAAGTTTCGGATTCTTTGGCTTGTTTCGCCAATCACCAGCCCTCAATAACTCTTTTATTTTCTGTTATATACAATGTTCTTAAAATTACAAAGAAAGCTTGTCAATCTAATAAAAGATATATTCAGGCTTGCTGTTTACATTAAATTATATAATTTATAATATTTAAATGATAAATTTAGAAAACATATGTATTAACTTAAGTAATAACTAGCAGTCGTACCCGCGCGATGCGCGGTCAGTATTAAAAAATATTAATCAAATTAAATTATGATAGGGCTTGTTTGATCCTATTAGATTGTATTGCTTTAATAAAATTCAATTGTCATTTTACTTGTCAATATGATATACCGAATAATGAAATCTCTATTAAATCAAAGGTACTTATATAGTTAGTGAATAACTTTTTTGTTCTNTCCTCAATATATCGTGACTAAACTGATTTTCTTTTTTATTCCATTTACATAATATATGCTCAAAATTTTGTAAAAAGGCACAAAAAGAAAAAGAACCTTGAAAATAAAAGGAAATTCGGGGAGGATAAAGGCGTTGGGTTTAGGCGCTAAATACTTTTAAAAAGAAGTGTCGGTGGCATAAAAAACTTAAAAATAAAATTGTGTAAGAGCCACTCTGTCCCTATATTTTGACTTAATTTCAGTACTTGGCCCTAATTAGTCCAAGTGTGTAGTAACAACACTACTACTCCCTCCGGTCCAAAATAAGTGATTTTTTGGCCTTTTTTTGGTGGTCCAAAATAAATGATTTTTTCAGATTTCATGAATGAATTAATTATTTTTTTCCTACATTACCCTTGGAGTAAATAGTGTTGGAGTATGTGTTAGGAGTATTTATGTGAAGAGATAGCAAAAGTTAATATGGTCAATTTCATTGCTAATTAATGTTAAAAGGTGGATTTCTTAATCTGTGTGAAAACAGCTAAAAAATCACTTATTTTGGACCGGAGGGAGTAGAATATTAGGACCCGTTTGGCCATAGATTTTGGCAAAATAAATTTGGATTTTATTTGGCAAATACAAATTTGACCATAAATTTTTGCCTACATTTTGGCAAAATCCCAAATCCCAAAACCAGCTCAATAGTTGATTTTGGGCCAAAATATCACTATTATATTTTTTTAAAATTGCCCCAAACTTTTATTTTTTATAAAAGAGCCCACCATTTATTATTTTGTAACAAAGTTGCTTTGTCTTCTAGGTCATCTGATAGTGTATCATGTAGTTCATTATAAAAATAATAATTCTGTACCAAATTTATTTATGTTCAGGATTATGATTTGCGATAATATAATAAATATTATTGATAATGGTACTGTTGGGTATTTGTAATAGTTTATAGAACTTGTGAGTATTAGTCATGTTTCATGTTTTTCCAAAATAAATTTGGAAACTGTCTTCATTTCAAACCAAACTTCACGCAATCAGATTTTTCAAAACAAACTTGTGATTTTATGCCAAACGCTACCTTAGTACTACATTCTACAATTGCTGCTAATTCTACTTTATTACCAAAATTAGTGACTTTATCCCGCGGGATATTTTGCTTTTAAAGCATTCATTATATACATAAAAAACCCCGTAATCCTCATCAAATTCTACTCTAAGTAGCAATCGCAGCTCCTCGCTCTCCACCTTTTGCCTTGTCTTAAGAGTAGTGATAGTGTACTTTGCATTTTTAATCCAGAAACAGATTGCGAAATATTTGGTTGTTGGGTTTGGTATTTTACTTTTGGAATTGCAAAGGGAAAGAGGATTGTGGATCTCTGTGAAAAGATGGGGCTGGATCCGAGACAAATGGTGGCTGGTGTACTTACACTAACTATGTTCGTAATGCTTGGCAACATGATCAAAAATGACCATTTTGATTCCCTTCCTGTAATTTCTTTAACACTTTCTTACTACTGCAATTTTTTATTTCATTTGCTGTAATTAACTTGTTTTAATATCAAATCATTTTTTAGTATTTTCTATCATCATCAAACTGTAACCAGTTTCCAGCTTTGGCAGTTGCAGCAAACTTTCACTGCCATTATTAGGAAGTATTCATAGTGTTTTATCCTAAAGATCCTGTCTTTTTTGGCTTAGCCTTAGCTAAAAAGATTTAAATTTCTCTAAATTTGCATTTAGAGATCCTATATGATTACGCCCAAAAAAAGTGTGAACAAATAAAACAGGTTCCATAATGATATAATGTCAACATTCGATTATGTGATATTCTTTGTTAGTTGTTTGATTTTAATTTTTAAACATTTCTGATTTTCTTAAATCATTTTGTTCTGAATAAAGGTGGATTCTGATGCATCAATCCATACTACGAGTAAGCAGAGTGTCGGAAATGGCCCTTGGATACACGATGGCGAATCCCTAAAGCCTTGTTGGACTAAACCAGTTCTTCGTGAGTGATTTAATAACCTTGAGTTTGTTAAAGTTAGCTTTTACAATCTTAATTTCTTTCAAGCATTTTTTTGGTATCCCTTACTCTATGATTTTTCTAACAGAAGAAGCTGACGAATCGCAAGGGTTTGTTACCTTTTCACTCACTAATGGTCCTGAATATCATGTCTCTCAGGTAACTTACTAGTGTTACATCTTGAGTTTTCAAATTAAACAGCAGTATGTAGGTGGATTACTATCAGTAATTTACTTAATGAACTAATTGCAAACTCTAGGTTCTATCTTATAGACAAGCTTTTGTTTGCTGCAGATGGTATCTACAAATTTTGCTTTTGTTGTTATTGGCTGTACAGGATTTACTAATGTTTAATAGTAGCCTTACCAGTAAAAGCAACACAATAATGTTGGTTTCATGTTTTTGCGAAAACCTTATAAAGCTATAGTATATGAGGTGTAACTAGCTGTTAAAGTGGACAAAATCACATGGAACATCCATTTTCTTTCTTTATTCGTTTAAACTGAGTAGTTTTTTGTCTTTACTCATGGGTTTTTATAGTCGTCTGAGATTACTTGTCTAACCTACATTTTCAATTGGTCTGTTAGCTTCTGATATGGTCATATTCATCATATGCATAAGGTGCCTACACTACAGCTTTCAGGACATACAAATATTTCCATCGCTTCACCGTTCACGTGAATGACAGTTATTTCTGCTGTGTAGGAGTGCTAAGCAGCATAGTTACTTTAATGGGTATCTTTTATCCATATTTGATGTTTATTCTTCTTGGTTGAGATGTGGTTTATCATAGTGACTACAGTTTCTGTCTTCAATAACATTTGTTTATGCCAACCGTGCAGTGGATAGGGGTTGGATGGGATAGGAATTGAACTCTAAGCCGCTACTTGATATTGCTGTATTGTTTATTTCATGGTTATTGCTGTATTAACATGGAGGAATCAAACATTAATATGGCACTTTCTTATATTACATCATTTATTTCGCCTTGTTTATGCTGTCAGCAAAGTGCAGATTCTTATGATGTTTACAGGATGAGTTAAGGCTTAAACTGAGTTGCTGACTTGCTTCTATGTTTGTCTTCTCTTCTATTATCTGTTCTGTGTCGCAACTGGCATATGCAGATTGCTGATGCAGTGATAGTAGCAAGATATCTGCGTGCAACTCTTGTAATCCCAGACATCAGGGGAAGCAAACCTGGGGATAAGAGGTTAGTGTTCTCATTGCTGTTTACCCTATCTTGTTAGTCTTGCAACGTTCTGGTGCTTGTTTCAAATGAGAATTAATTAAGGAATTTATTGCATATTTCTTTTGACATTTGAGGTTGCTTGATATATTCTTTGAAAAGCTCTGTTGAAACCTTAGGCTTTCAGTATTGCTGGGTCACCTGTGAATTTCATCGTTTTCTAGTTCTCATATAGTAACCCAAAGTTTGAAGATTCATAAATGGTTTTTGTGACATTCAGGAACTTTGATGACATCTATGATGTTGAACACTTTGTGAGAAGCCTCGATGGGGTTGTCAAAGTAGCAACAACTCAGCCTACTGAAGTCTCAGCAAGAAATCTTGCTGTGGTGAAGGTTCCAAATAGAGTTTCTGAAGATTATATTGCTGAAAACATTGAGCCAGTTTTCACATCTAAGGGAAACATAAGGCTGACAACATACTTTCCTTCAGTAAACATGAAAAAAATGAAAGAGAACAGCAATATAGACTCAATTGCATGTCTGGCGATGTTTGGCACTCTAGAGCTTCAACCAGAAGTTAATGAAGTAGTTGAGTCCATGGTGGTGCGCTTAAGAACTTTGAGCGCAAAGTCAAAAGGACAGTTCATTGCAGTGGATCCGAGGGTTGATATATTGGAAAAAAAGAGTTGCCAAGGAGACAGTGCTCTTAAATCAAAGAGTTGCTATGGTCCAGAGGAGATAGGTGTGTTCTTGAGAAAAGTTGGTTTCAACAAGGATACGACTCTGTATCTGACTCAATCAAGGTGGGATAGCAGCCTTGATGCATTGAAGAATCTCTTTCCTAAAACGTATACAAAGGTCCGGTTTCTTTCCTATTGTATTTACTGTTTCACTGTGTTCGTTCTATATATGGATCTTGCATTTAGGAAGTAAAAGAATCTATCTGCCTCCATGTATTTCTATGTGTTCGTTTAGTATTTGTTTTGCTTACTCCTCCGAAACCCAACTGCAGGAAAGCATAATGCCCATTGACAAAAAGGCAAAATTTCTTGACTCAGAGTCTACTGAACTGGAGAAAGTAATCGACTTTTACATGTGTTCTGAGAGTGATGTTTTTGTACCAGCCATCTCAGGCCTCTTTTATGCCAATGTGGCTGGTAAGAGAATCGCTTCTGGAAAGACACAGATACTTGTTCCAGCTGATATTCCTGGCTCTTCTGCTGCTTTAACAGATTACATATCTCATTATGTCTCAAAAAGGAACCACTTCTCCTATTCATGTTTCTGCTAGCTCGCTGTGAAGAAAGGCTGAGAATGCAGATGTTGATATAGGCTTTATTCATTGCGCGTTTATTTGTAAGACACGCAGATTTGGTTCATAGAATTAGGCCAAACCATTAATAGTGGTCTTGGTGGAAAAGGTCAGGCCCCAAACAGTCGAATGTTTGTTGAATTTACAATTTGTAGAACAGATGTTTTACATGTTCAGTATAGTCGTTTCAAACAAGACTTGTGGCGCTTCAAGTTTTGTTATGATTGTTGGCAATTCCATTCCAATCAATGGAGTATTCTCTTCCAAATGATGCAATTAGATTGGCTGTGACCCTCAATAGTCGTCATGTACTATAGACAAGCTCCAATGCCTATCTCAAATCTTCGGTCTTCTCCAGTACTACAATTTCCAGTTATTATAAGAAGAATACCAGATTCACTTTTCTCAACTTTGTTATGTTTTTGTCATGCTCGCGGCTTCATACTTCAATTGTTGGCATATTGAAATTAAGCTTTGCCTTCCGCAGAAGTTCATGGAAAACAAAAAATTTGGCCTTCTAGCTTTTTACTTCAGTCTCCTTAGTTGGAGGCAACTGAACCACACCCCAAAAGGTAGCTATTGAGGTGGGAGAGCCCAAGGCTATATAAACCCCACATTCTTGCAATAGACCACAACAAATCACCAAGCTCCGCATCCGTCGTCCTCGACGGTTGTGCGCTAGACATTTCTAGCCCCGGGGGAACACTGTAATACCGGCGTCGCCATCCAAGGCACGGTGGGCACAGAGGGTGGTGGGTGCCTCTGATAACATTGATACAACCTAGGGAGAACCACACCCCAAAAAATAGCTATTGAGATGAGAGCCCAAGGCAAGTATGAAGCTCAAAGTGAAAAGCTGAATTACTTTAATACCCATCAAAAGTTAGTTGACCAATTTGTCCTTCACTATTGAAAATGTTGAAATTAAGCTATGGTGAACGTACTAAATTGGAATCATATTACTAAATGCTAAATTATTGCTACTCTAAATGCAGTCATAAAGAATCTATTAAGCCTTTTCTCCTCCCAGCTTGGAGTATTTCATTCGTAACGTTCCTAACATTGTTTTGTTCCAAAAAGTAAAGCTACGTTCCAACACTTTACTTCAAAACCGTAACTCTTCCTATTCCTTCTTATTTTTGCATCTGCCAAAACTTATTCTATAATAACCTCTATCATTGCATTAAGTTCTTTGTCTTGGAAACTGTAAAGCTTGCCATGATACGTGTATTTAAAATTTTTGTAATTGTCAAAGAAAACTTCTTCAAATTCTTATACATGCATGCTGACTTTAACTTGTATATTCTCATTCTTGTATATGCTTTTCAAACTTGTTTTCATATATAATTTGTAGATGTACTTTACGGATTACAAAATCACACTCATATATTAAAATCAAATACTAAAATAAATATAATTAATGGGGAACGGAGGGGTGGAAGTTAGGGAAGAAAGGAAACGAAAAAAGCCATGAATTGTGTGGATGACACAATTTTGCCTTCATCCTTTTCTTGATGGTTGACGTATGCTGCTATTTTGTTGCGCAAGTATTCTTCCTTTTTCTCTGTAAAGGAGCCTTTCAAATATATTCTTGGTTTCTCAAATATTTTAATTTTTCCTTCATTCTTAAAAAAAATATTAATATTTCCTATTAGGTATGGCATCAAACTCTTAAAAAACACACTTATATTTTCATACTACCCTCTTTTATTCCTTTACTCTTGGGACGACGTGATGTTGGCGTCGGATGTGTAATGTCGGAGGTTCCTAGGTTCTAATTAGAAAAGTGATCTTTTATTTGGAAGTAGGTATTGTAAGAGTGGGCCTCAACTAATGGGCTACTTTCGATCAATAAGAGACCAATGGGCCATCTGATACAAGTGGGCCAGCTGATGGGTTAATGAAGATTAAGGCCCAATGTCACCAATTAAATACCCACAGAAAGGGCTGAGGAAAGCAGCTTACACAGTAATATTCTGTTAACTACCCAACTACCTTCTCTTCTCTCTACTTTCTCTCTCTAAAATCCTAACCAACTTCTTCTTCTCCTCTTCTCTTTCAGGTACAATTGTTCATTAGTTATGGAGAATTTAGTCTACTTAGCTTGATAGATTCATTGTAATTCAGTTCCCAGCACAGTGATCAATAAAGTTTGTTTCCTCATTCTCATTTCTTCATTTAAATTCCCTTCTTGAGATCAATTTACTAGTCTATTACAAGTTGGTATTAGAGCAAATCCTGGCACCATAACAGTACCAAAAACTAGATCTAAAGTTACGGAAGAAAGTGTCAAGAAATTGGAGAGTCAATTACAAAATTACATGGCAGAAACTAGTAAAAAACTGGAGTCGAATGACTCTAAAATGGATGAATTAAATCATAAATTTGATCTTCTGATGGACAAGTTCTTCGCAAGCAAGGATGGTATCTTGGGTAGTGCTCCAACAGCTGCTCATACAGTAGAAGGTTCTGGCAGTAGAGGAAGGATGATGGAGAATCATGAAGTTCCTGTTGGGCGATCCTACTCGAACAATTTCAACTCCAAAATCGATTGCCCTTACTTCGAAGAAGGAGACCCAAAAGCTTGGCTGCGAAAATGCGAAAGGTATTTTCATTACAATCATATATTAGATCCACAACATAAACTGGATACTGCTGTATTGCATTTGAATGGAAGAGCAGAAGCATGGTATTTTTCTTACCAACTGAGTAGGGGTACTGTTAGGTGGGGTGAATTTGTGTAAGAAATCTGTAAAAGGTTTAATGATGCTGACAATAGTAATCTAAATTTACTGGGGAGATTTAAAAGGATAGAACAAAATGGATCAGTCAATGAATACTTAGAGAGGTTTGAAGATTTGAAGGCATGGGTGTTAATCAAACATCCAACCATACCTGAAGAGTTTTTTCTAGGGTTTTTTATAGAAGGTCTTAAAGAAGAGATTAGGCATACTGTTAAAATGCTTGATCCTTATTCATTAAGTTATGCAGTAGAAAAAGCTAGGCACAAGGAAGAATTAATGGAATCAGTGAATAAGAAGAAGGGGTATGGAGGAAGACAAAACCTACAGCCAAATACTTATGGGAATACTACAGTGAGCAAGCCTTCTAACTATGCACAGAAGGAGAGTAATCAACAGCCTTCAATCTCAGGGAACAAACTTTTTGAAGCAAGAAAAGCTAGGGGAGAATGCTATAAGTGTGGAGAGAGGTACTTTCCTGGACATGTGTGCAAGAATAAGCAGCTCAACACATTGTCAGGACAACAGAACAAGAGCAATTAGAGGTAGAGGGTAAGATGGAAGATGAGATAGTTCCTGTTGAAGATTCAGAAGCTATCATAGATGAGTGGTCTCAATGCATTATCAGGGACTATTACCTCTACAACTATCAAACTGAAAGGAGTATATGGGAAACAGATCTTGATGATCCTAGCAGACAGTGGTAGCACTCACAGCTTCATAGCTAGTAGCACTGCCAAGCAGTTGGAATGTGTAATCCAGGAAGCTGTACCAATGAGGGTAGCTGTGGCAAATGGAGGGCATCTAATGAGTTACCACTCTTGCCCTCAATTCAAGTGGAAAACCCAGGGCATTGAATTTGAGCACAAGTTGAAGGTACTGGATATTGGGGGTTGTGATGTAGTCTTGGGGGTGGATTGGATGATAAAACACAATCCTATCCTGTTTGACTTTATTGCATACAAACTACAGATGAGTGTGAAAGGGAAAAGAGTGGCATTGAAAGGACACTCTGAAGAAGGCAAGCTGCAGAATATGACAGCAACTGGAGTTAAGCAATTGTTGAAGAAGGGACAAGGGTTATGGGCACACTTGTTTACTATTAATGTACAGAACACAGAAACACCAAGTAACATACCTGACAAGATTCAGAACCTTATAGCTGAGTTCCCAGGAGTGTTTGTTGAACCAAAGTGCCTGCCACCAAGGAGGACCCATGATCATCAGATCCCACTCAAACCTGAAGCAGCACCTATCAGTATCAGACCATACGGTACAATTATTTCCAGAAGAATGAGATAGAAAAGCAGGTTAATGAAATGCTTAACAATGGAATTATACAACCCAGCCACTCCCCATTCTCTTCCCCTGTATTGTTAGTTAAGAAAAAAGTTGGAAGTTGGAGGTTTTGCATTGATTATAGGGAATTAAATAAAATGACCATTAAGGACAAGTTCCCAATTCCCTTAGTAGATGACCTAATGGATGAACTTAATGGTTCTTGCATATATTCAAAAATTGACTTGAGGGATGGTTATCACCAAATAAGGATGAAGGAAGGGGACATCTACAAGACTGCATTTAGAACACACCTGGGGCACTATGAATTTAGGGTCATGCCCTTTGGTTTGACCAATGGCCCAGCCACCTTCCAAAGCCTCATGAATCAGGTGTTTAAACCCTTTTTGAGGAAGTTTGTATTGGTATTTTTTGATGATATATTAGTCTATAGTTCTTCAATGGATGCTCATGTACTACATCTCAGAAAAGTACTAGAGGTCCTACAGAAAGAACAACTCTATGCAAAGATGTCTAAATGTGATTTTGGATAGGATAAAGTGGAATATTTGGGACATATTATTTCAGGTGAAGGGGTTTCTACTGACCCTACTAAAATTGAAGCAATGGTAAATTGGCCTGTACCTAAATCTGTGAAGGCTTTAAGAGGATTCCTTGGGCTGACTGGTTACTATAGGAGATTTGTTAAATCTTATGGAATTATAAGCAGACCATTAACTAATCTGCTTAAGAAAAATGCTTTTCAGTGGAATGAAGAAGCTGAAGCAGCTTTTCAGCAATTAAAAACAACTATGTCAACAGTACCAGTGCTTGGGTTGGCTGATTTCACCAAGCCTTTTGTGGTAGAAACTGATGCATGTGCTACTAGAATGGGTGCTGTACTGATGCAAGGAGGCAGACCTATAGCTTTTTTTAGCAAGGCATTAGCTCTCAAACACAGGGGATTATCTACTTATGAAAAAAAGTACATGGCAGTCCTTTCAGCTGTAATAGGTGGAGACATTACTTACAAGGGGGCACTTTGTTGGTAAGACTGATCACCAAAGTTTAAAATACCTATTAGAGCAGAAGATAACCACAGCCTTGCAACAAAAAAGGTTAACCAAACTCATGGACCTTGACTATGAAGTTCAATACAAAAAGGGGAGTGAAAATAAGGTGGCAGATGCTCTCTCAAGGAGACAAGAAGATGAACCTACTCTATTGGCTATATCCAGCCTACAGGCCACTTGGTTGCAAGACATTGTGGATAGTTATGAAGGGGATCCTACAGCATTGCAACTACTGAGGGAGTTAACCATCAGTCCTAACAGCAGAGAA